AGCCAGCATGCTGGCTGGGGAATTCTGGGAGGTGAAGTCCACATATCTTAAAGTTGCTAAGGTTGAGAAACACTGGCCTAGAGCCTTGCTCATCTTCAGAGGTCTTACTAGTGTACTGTTTGTGATACCGAATCTGTGGGTGGTGCTTCAAGTTCTACTAGCCCTATAGTATTTCAGAGCCATATACAGTATTACATATTCTGTATCTGCACATATGACCTTATAATATTCCTTCCAGGCAAGTACTGGTATTTGGTTAACATTTTGAAGGCCCAAAACTGTTAAGTGCCAGTAAAGTTCAATGATCTCTGATATACTGTATATAGAATCAACATCTGTCAAGTTTTTGTGGAGGTTTTGGCCTTTTATCTTGTTCCTTTTACAACTGATAAGCCAACAATTTAGTGCCTTGTCTTTTTTATAGCTGTCGTTTACTTCCAATAAATCTAGTTGATTGCTAATTGTTTTTATCATGTGTTTTAATTCCAAAACTGGGTTATACTTGTGCCTCAATTTTAATGTACTCTTCTTTTTTGGGGTAGTTTTCTATTTGATACCAGAGAGAGAAAAAGATTCTCATAAATTAGGAAATAGCACTTCCACATGATCTGCACAAACATCGTTGGACGGATGCAAATGGAAATAAACAGCTCATAAAAGATTGTACAATAATAAGCAGTGTATTAAAAGTCTGAGGTAAATACAGGGAAAGAATAAATCCAGATCTATTTCCTCTTATCTCATGACTAGATATTTATTTTCATGAGTAGGAAAGCACCAAGAAAGACCCTCCATGGGGAGATAAGAAATCTTATAGACTGCAAGATTTGATTATCAATTAGACAAACATAAAATCTGTTCAGACTTTTTCTTTGGAATGGGCAGAAGCACCAAACTGCTTTCAATACTTTCAGCTTCAATATCTGCCAGCTCTGGTGGGGCATGCAGAGATGCCCCACCAGGGCAATTGGAGACCCTGTGATCCTGCATATAACCTGGCCAAAACTGGACAAATATTTGAAACACTGAGGATGTTTCAAAGAGGAAAAGACATCCTTCTATATTCCATAAAGGAGACACCACTTTGCATGGTTTATTTGGGAGTCAGTTAACAGTTTCTTCAAGGGAGTTAGGTGATTGCTTTGAAGTTGGAAATACACCTTTTGGGGAAAGTGAGTTAATTCCTTGTTTCTTCTGTTCCTTGGCTATGTTCATACTCGTGGGCGTTTGCAGGACTTTGCACTTGTGGGGAGTTTTGCACTGCAGGAAGAGGGTGGGGTGTTTGTAATTGAATGATCCCCACATGTGGACCATCGTCTTTCCTCTCTGAAAAACATTTAGAGGTCGTGTTGTCAGGAATGGCAGTGTCCTATTAACCAAGCTACCCTCTATGTCTGCTGAAGATAGCTTTGCTCATGGGGCAGACTGATAGCTCTTAATCAGTCAGCCTTCCCAGGGGGACCAGATAAGAAACACGACCAAATGAATAAGGCTACATTAAGAGAATCTCGCAAGTGGAAAGTACAGCCTGGCTTAGGGAGGATCCTTTCTGAGTTTCTTTCTCTGCCTGTTATGCAGCTGCAGGCTCCCCCTCCTCCCCTGTTATCTGATCATTCCCCAGGCAGCATCTCCCCGCCCCAAGGACATTCACACATATCATTACATTATCCTTATTATCCTCTTTGACGTCTGAGATACACCGCATTTTAAATTCTGTAGTTTGAAATAAGTCCTTGATGGACACTAGCATCTGCTGTAGGCAGCCCATCCCTGTATCTCATCTAGAGTATGGGAGAATTGTTGGAGTGCTTGAGGCACTGACGTTGAGGGACGCCCTCTCTGATGGGGGAGATGCGCTTCTCCTTATCTGCACTGTCAAAGTTGAATGAGCGATTGTCAACGTTGATATTTCAGAATTCATATGGGAATAATATAGAAGTTAGCCAAGAAAGCTTTCATTGGTAACAACCTAACTAGAATAGACTAGGGACCCAAGGTAAGAGGAATCCTTTTCTGAAGGGATCCCCCCCATGTTAGGGAGCCAGACTATTGTTCTCAGAACAATTGTCTGCTGATTACATCTTAACAGGCTATTTAGGGACTTAATTCTTCTTCTGTCCCGCCAGCAGCCTTTACTGATGGAGTTATTGGGTTGGAGGACAGGGGCTCCACTCTCTACTGGCCATATTTGTTCTTATAAAGGAGAAGTGGCATTCTTTTAGCATCTCTCCATCTGATTTCTTTTGATGAGGGGTGTCCCTTGTGTAGTAGTTGCTAATGTTGTTATACATTATCCCAGATAACACTTTCTTTGGTTCATCTACTTGCTATGGTATAGTTAAATGTCTTTCAAAAGCAGCTGTCACATTGCCTGGGAATAGAATCCTCGTCTGATGCTAAGCATGGTTGATTGAGACATGGGAACCCAGGATCTTGTTCTGGGTTGATTGCTCCAGCGTTAAAATTGCTGGTGCCTTCCTCAAAAGAGTGATTGAATGTTTGGTATAGTGGAGTGTTTCTTCAAGTGTGGCCCAAGGACCCCTGGGGGTCCCTCAAGACCTTCTCAGGAGTCCACAAAATCAAAATTGTTTGCCAGATGTTGATGTTATTTGCAAAAATGTAAAACAATGTCACTCTTCTCATTTTTTATTTGTTAAAAAAAAGTTTTTTTAGGAAAAATATGTTATGTATTTATGTTAATATCTAATGGGCTAAATATTGTTATTTTTACATAATTCAATAAATACATATTCTACATATGCTTCAATTTTAATTTTTAATATGGTAAATATCGATAAATATAACCCATACACACAAAAGTTCTGTCGGGGTCCTCCATAATTTTTAAAAGTGGGAAGGGGTCCTGACAGCAAGAAGTTTAAGAAACATTGGTCTAGTGGTTAAAGCATTGGTCTAAGAATAGGGAAACCTGAATTCTACTTCTGCCCTAGTCACAGAAGCCAGCTGGGGGACCTTGAGTTGGTCACTTTCTCTCAGCCCTATGAAGAAGAAGGCAATGCAAACCACTTCCTAAAATGAATACTGCCATGAGGTAACTAAGATTCAAAACTGATTTGAAGGCCAAAAAAAACCCCCCCAAAACCCCCACAGGATGGAGATATGGACTCAGTGTCTTTTGTAGTAACCATAAGATTGTCAACTTTGAGTGGTTTAATAGTCTTTCCAGTTGCCCATTGGGAAGTAGAGCAATGCTGTTTCTTCTTATAACTCTAAAAGACTCTCGTTCTTTTCTCAGCTCTGATGATGGATGGAGGCTTAAGCTGATGTTTGGATCAATTAAGGGCATAGACTATTAAAAGAACTGTTACTCCAGCATCATCTCCCCTTGCATAGCCAATGCTGAAGATGTCAGAAACTGTAATTCAGTAAGCTTTGGAGTATCAGATGTTGCTGTTGTTGAAGAATTTATTTACTAAACCACAGCAAACCAAATCATGACGTGATGAACTATATGTTTTATTCACTCGCTATCTCTCTCTCTCTTTCTCTCTCTCTTTTTAATCCATTCAATTGTGTCCGATTCTTGGAGACTGCCTGGACAAGTCCTTGAAGTTTTCTTGGCAAGGTTTTTCAGAAGTGGTT